ATGGCATCACAGCTCACAGCAACCTCCAACTCCTGGGCTCAAGTGAGTCTCCTGCCTCAGCCTCCTAAATAGCTGGGATCACAGGCAACCGCCACAACGCCCGGCTATTTTTTGGTTGCAGCCATCACTGTTGTTTTGATGGGCCCAGGCTGGATTCGAACCCGCCACCTTAGGCGTATGTGGCTGGCGCCTTAGCCACTTGAGCCACAGGCGCCGAGCCGGAATGGATTATTTATAATGGATTATAAAGGCAAAGTTCCTGACCCTCTGGGGACTTGAAGTGACAAAACTTTCCTCAAACTCCCAAGGTCAGAGAATTTGTGTCTTTGGTGGTCTTTGCTTATGGCTATAAAGCTGTAAGCCTGGATCTGGATAGTAATATAAACCTCTAGATGGTATCCCATCCTGTCCTCTAGGGAACATTTCTTTCCCTCTCATTCTTGAAATAGAGTTTGAGGAAAGAAAGACTACCCTTCTGCCAGCTTGTGATTTAGGAGGGTACATTCATTCAACACATATTTACTGAGCACAGACTACAGGCCTGCTACTACTCTTAATCACAGGGACACAGAAATGAAAAGGACAGATAAATCCCTTTACCCTGTTGTTTCTAGTGGGCCTAGAAATCTTTGATTTTCAGAGCTAAAAGAGACCTTTGCTAATTCCACCTTCTTAGGAAACTCAAGCCCAGGAGGAGAGATGACTTATCTAAAATCAAAGACAGAGAAAAACATAGGGCCTCTTACAAGTTAAGCTAGTTTTTCCCCAAGAGGTTAACAACCCCGGGGCTAGTGTTGTAAGGACCCAAGCAGGGGCATCTGGAGAAGAGAGAGTAGGCAAAGAGCCATGCGGCATGCTCTGTACTCAGGGTCGCCTCCAGCTGAAGCCTAGCCACCCACCCAGCACCCATTCTCCCTTGACACCAGGGGACCCCAGCTTCTTTCTTCACAGCCCCAAGGGAAAAGTGCAGCCCAGGATGGGCGACATGGCATTAGGGGACCCCCACTGGACTCTTACCAATTCCTCTACTTTGCTACTGAGTTGTTTGTTTGTTAGATAGCTGGAGTCCAGGGCTACTGCTAGCTCGTGGTACCGGCTCTGAGGCGCATGCAGAGAGCAGTTGGAGGAGGGGTGGGGGGAGAGGTAGAGAGAGCAATCATTAGGGTTAAGGATCTAAGGGCTATCTCAACTGCCAGAGGGGAACTCAGCCCCTACTGTGGGAAGTCAGGGGGCTGGCCTGCAGGGTCACTGGGCCATAGTTCAGGGCCATTTACCTCCAAATCCTTCAGGTTAATGGACGATGAAAGGCTTGTTCCATTGACATAGGACGTAGACTAAAAGAGATGAGGGTCTACTCAGTGATGCTCTGTCTCCTCACAGCTAAGCCCTGTGACTTCCTTTCTTCCCCATCAACTTTCTTCCCTATCAATTTTTTTTTCTGGCTAACTTGGACCCCTCCTCTCATAATCCCTTCCTACCAACTTCTCAGCATTCTTATCTCTCCATCATCCCTCCCCTCCTGAGCAGCTCTTATCCTGTGCTTCCGCAGCAGGATAAATGATATCTTGTGGTCCAACTCCTTCATTTGCACAGCTCTAATGGAGAAGCTTCAGAGAAGAAGTGACTTGCCCAATGTTACCCAGCAAGCTGGCTGGTCTCAGGATCTTTTCTCTCTCTCTTATGAAGCCCTGCCTCCATTTCCTTCTGTCATACCTTCCTTCCCCCTTCCCTCCCTTCTCGGCTGTAATTTCTGGGATACCTCAGACACAAGACTACTGATATGCTGAGAAAGCTGTCGCAGGCTCTCAGTCGATGAGAAAGTCCTAGGGATGGAGACACGGGGTCAGAGGTGCAGGTGGCTCAATGGGAAAGAGGGTCCTGGGCAGTAGCCTGCCCTGACTCCCTCATCCAGGGACTACTGCCCTGACAGAAGACACTCACTCGATTTCATCCATAAGATGAGAGATTTCGTCAGCATCAAGGTTCTGTTTGGGAAGAAACATTATGATTGTCACTCAATTTCCAGTAAGAATCACCCAGGGGTCGGGTAAGCCAAGCTTATCCCAACAATCTTCATCTCCTCAAACCCTGAGACAAAGCCTAGTCTTAGCTTCCCTTATCCTAGTCTTATCTTCCAGTCCCTAGGAAGGGTGCCTGGCTCTAGAACCAAGTTCCCTGTGAAAGAAAAGAATCCACTGGCTTAGTGCCTGTGGCTCAGCAGCTAGGGTGCCAGCCATACACCAGAGCTAGAAGGTTTGAATACAGTCCAGGCCTGCCAAATGACAACTACAACCAAAAAATAGCCAGGCGTTGTGGCAGGTGCCTGTAGTCCCAGCTACTTGGGAGGCTGAGGCAAGAGAATCACTTAAGCCCAAGAGTTTGAAAGGTTGCTGCAAGCTGTGATGCCACAGCACTCTACCGAGGGCAACAGCTTAAGGCTCTGACTAAAAAAAAAAATAAAACAAGGGCAGTGCCTGTGACTCAGTGAGTAGGGCGCCAGCCCCATATACCAAGGGTGGCAGGTTCAAACCTAGCCCTGGCCAAATTGCAACAAAAAAATAGCCGGGCGTTGTGGCGGCACCTGTAGTTTCAGCTACTTTGGAAGCTGAGGCAAGAAAATCACCTAAGCCCAGGAGTTGGAAGTTGCTGTGAGCTGTGTGATGCCATAGCACTCTACCGAGGACAATACAGTGAGACTCTGTCTCTACAAAAAAAAAAAAGTAATAAAACAAAACAAAAAAAAGAGAATCCACAGTGGGTCCAGTCCTTGGGGAAAGAGAGTGGGGCCAGTACACAGGAAGGCAGGGGCAAAGAGGGATGAGGCACAAACCTCAGGTGACTCCATGCTAGTGCGACCAGCATCAGTGGAACGGACGCCAGGTGACATGGTATCACCATATGGTGGTGCACCGGAGGAAGGGATACCGTCAGGTGGCACGGTGTCATCAGCAGATGGTGGTGCATTAGAGGAAGGGACAGCGTCAGGTGACACAGTATCATCAGCAGACAGTGGTACATCAGGGGAAGGGACACCATCAGGTGACACGGTGTCATCAGCAGATGGTGGTGCAGGGGCATCACAGTCTTTGGGTGCCTGTCACAGAACAGAATGGGGGTTAGGGAGCCATGCAGGACAGAAAACACCTTGCTGCTGTGGACACAGGGGTGCAGAGCAGGTAGGACAGGTAATGCTGCAGTCAAGAGTGACAGTCACGCATGCTGGGAACCCCTGGGGGGGGTGTGGACACAGCCTGACCAAGCCTCGGGCCACTCGGCAGCATTTCTGGCAGTTAAAGCACAAAGCAGGGGCTGTACAACCTCCTCCACTAACACATGAAGATCTTGTTCTCCTGGAGCTCAGCAGAAGACAGCACCAGGCTCTGACCTGCAGGAGCACCACAGGCGGGAGGAATATGTGACCAAGTCAGGGGGATGAGAAGCACCGTGCTTCCAGGAAGCCAGTTTGTGCTGCAGAGTGACCCTCACCTGGGCCCCTGCTGGGCAGGAGGGTGGTAAGTGTGGGTCAGTATAGCTGGCTCCCTCTCCCTTCCCTTGTTCTCCTGTCTTCCTTTCCTCCTCCTCTACCCTAACCATGGGCTATATTTCTGATTCAAGACTTTTAGGGAAAAAAAAACTTACCCAAATAGAAGCCTCTCCCTGCCCTCTGGAGGTAAAATGAGAATAAACTCCTACCCCAATCTCTTAGCTCCAGAAATACCTACCTGTCTAAGAGACCACATAAGAAACCAGTGGTTAAAATGTTTGCCGTACAACCCTCAGCAACCTGGAGGTCATGAGGCTCTTTCCTGGGAATAGCACTTAGGGCATAGCATTTAGGACGTAGAGTCAAACCTTATCCCCAACCGGACCTACCTGCTTTACTAGAGCCCCATCCATCTTTCCTCAGACCTAATTTTTAGTCCAACCCTCTGTATATAAGACCAGATGGGCAGAGAATGGAAAGAGGCTGGGGCAGCGCCTGTGGCTCAAAGAGTAAGGTGCCGGCCCCATATGCTGGAGGTGGCGAAGAAAGAAAAGATGGCTGAATAGCTAGAGCTTGATAAGAGCCAAGTGCAAGGCCTGGTCAGGGAAGCCAGGTCTGGGGAGGAGGTGGTGGCCCCTTTCTCCCAGGAAAGGGCTGCCTATTCTCTGAACCCTTCCGCCTTGACCTTTGAAAACCAAATCTACTTCCCTCCTTACAGCAAGAGCTACAGAGGCTGGGGGAACCAGGGATGAGCCAAGTTGTCTTTGCATCTTGGCAAGCATACTGTGACCATGGCCCTGGAACCTAGCATTGCCTTGACAATGTCTACAACTCATTCTAACAGGTTAAGAGCAAGGGAATCAGCAGTTGGCCAGGCATGAGACTTTAGGGGATGTTGACACTTCTAGCCATGGACCCTGCAGGCTCTGGGTCCCTCCTGGCAACTTGAGTTCCTGGCAACTTGAGATCAGAAAAATCTGATCTCTAGGATTAGACATAGGAACACCTGGGGGGGGGGGGATTCTTTTTCTTTTTTTTTTTTTTGGAGGCAGAGTCTCACTTGGTCACCCTTACTAGAGTGCTGTGGTGTCTTAGCTCAGAGAAACCTCCAACTCTTGGGTTCAAGTGATCCTCTTGCCTCAGCCTCCCAAGTACCTGGGACTACAAGTACCCACTACAATGCCCAGTTAATTTTTAGAGATAGGAGGGTCTCACTCTGGCTCAGACTGGTCTTAAACCTGTGAGCTCAGGCAATCCACCCACCTCAGCCTCCCAAGTGCTGTGATTACAGGCATGAGCCACCAGGCCCATCTAAGAATTATTTTTCTGAGAACTTTTTAATACATATTGCATGATTATTTTGTGAGCAACCAAGTTATTTCATAATTTTAAACCTTGCAGCTAAGACCAGAGGGTTTTTTTGTTTTGTTTTGTTTTTGAGACAGAGTCTCAAGCTGTCACCCTGGGTAGAGTGCCGTGGCATCACAGTTCACAGCAACCTCAAACTTTTGGGCTTAAGCAATTCTCTTGCCTCAGCCTCCCAAGGAGCTGGGACTATAGGCACCCGCCACAACACCCGGCTATTTTTTTTTTCTTTTATTTCACCCGGCTATTTTTTTTGTTATTGTTGTTGTTGCCATTGTTGTTTTAGCTGGCCTGGGCCAAGTTCAAACCCGCCAGCCTAGGTGTATGTGGCCGGCGCTCTACCCACTGAGCTATAGGCGCTGCCCAAGACTGGAGTTTAAAAAAAAATGCCTGCTCTGCTCAAAATGTCTCATCCCATTAAACATTTTTTTCTCTTTCCATTATTCCCCATTTCTGGAAATGTTACCAGCTTTACTCAGGATACTGCAATCATAGGCCTGTACTCCTAGAGTAGAAAAATTATGTGGGAAGTAGTTATTGTCATAGAAGGTTTAAAAACAGTAAGAAAAGGCCAGGCCAGGTGGCTTACACTTATAATCCCAGCACTCTGGGAATCTGAGGCAGGACCCCTTGAGCTTAGAAGTTCAAGATAAGCCTGAGCAAGAGCAAGATCCCGTCTTTAATAAAAATTGAAAAATTAGGCTTGGCACCATAGCTCAGTAGTTAGGGTGCTGGCCACATGCACCGGGGCTGGTAGGTTCAAACCTGGCCCGGGCCTGTTAAAAATTGAAGTATTAAAGCCAGGTGCGGTGGCTCACACCCATAATCCTAGCATTCTAGGAGGCTGAGGCGGATGGATTGCTTGAGCTCATGAGTTCAAGACCAGCCTAAGCAAAAGCGAGACTCTGTCTCCACTAAAAATAGAAAAACTGAGGCAAGAGGAGCCCAAGAATTGGCGGTCGGTGTGAGCTACGATGTCATAGCACTCTACCGAGGGTGATAGGTTGAGACTGTCTCAAAAAAAGAAAACAGAAAAAAATTGAAAAATTAGCCAAGTGTTGTGGCAGGCACTTATAGTCCCCAGCTACTTGGGAAGATGAGGAAAGAGGATCAAACCCAGGAGTTGAGGTTGCTGTGTTGCTAGGCTGACATCACAGCACTCTAGCCTAGGCTAAGGTGACCAGATTTTAACATTGGTAAAGCAGGACACCATTGATGGGGGGGGGGGTGCGGGAGTGTGGGGCAGAGGAGGGGTGTGTTCTTGATTAAAAATTTGGTCTATATGGAGCAACAAAAATTTTCATAGAACGCAAAAATAGTATTGGAATTTTTTTTTTAATTTCAACATAAGTACAACTTACAAATATAATACATTAAAAAAAATTATGCATAGGGCTGGGCCTGTGGCTCAAAGGAGTAGGGCTCCAGGTCCACCTGGACAACCCTGCCCAGGAGGGGAGTAGGGAGTTTACATTAGCCTTTTCATTTCCAAATGAAGTTACATTAACCTCTTCATTCCCAAGTGGAGTTACATTAACCTTCTCCATTCCCAAATGGAGTTACATTAACCTTCTCCGCGGAAAGAAAACCATATATTCCCTTCCTGTTGTCCCACCCTTCCCTAGATTGTGCATTCTTTCCAAAAATTGGGACTTTTTTAAAACGCCACAGAACGCAGGACAAACTGTTCAAAAGTGGGACGTCTGGGCTCGGCACCTGTGGCTCAAGTGGCTAAGGTATCAGCCACATACACCTAAGGTGGCGGGTTCGAATCCAGCCCAGGCCTGCCAAACAACAATGATGGCTGCAACCAAAAAACGGCTGGGCGCTGTGGCGGGCGCCTGTGGTTCCAGCTACTTGGGAGGCTGAGGCAGGAGACTCGCTTGAGCCCAGGAGCCGGAGGTTGCTGTGAGCTGTGATGCCATGGCACTCTACCCAGGGAGACAGCTTGAGGCTCTGTCTCAAAAAAAAAAAAGTGGGATGTCTGGTCACCTTAGCCTAGGCAACAGAATAAGACTCTGTCTTTAAAAAAAGAAAAAAAAAAAAGAAACACAGTAAGAAGGGAATAAAGGAATATGGCCCTTCATTTCCAGAGAAGAGGGACCTGGGCTGCACAAGATATTAAAGCATTAGAACAGATCAATAATTTTCTGATAAAGAAACAGAAGCCCTGTATCCCCTAACTGTTGAGACCATTGGCAGAGCAAATCCACATATGTGTACATGGTCCCAGGACTCCAGTCCCATGCTCCCGTCTCCATGCCACTCAAGTGTCTCCTCTGAGCCAACAAAGAGAGTCACAGCACCTAGACAGACCTAACTCACAGGGAAAACAGCTGTGATAACTAAACTAAAAAACTTTCTACCATGCCCAGGCCCAGTCTCTCCCATGCCTGTCTCCCACAGGAGCTGGTTCTATTTCAAGTCCTGCTCCTCTGGCTTGGCAGAGATCCCAGGGCAAGTGAGGTATGGAGGAAGTGCCAACATCACACATGGAGGACGTGGTCTCCTAGCCCTGTGTACCCTGATGCCCTGCTCCTCCCCCCAGCTCCCTTGGTCCCTGAAAGGTGCTGGCTATAACCTTACCACTCTCTCTGCCTTCCCCACTTTCCATATGGATAAATGTTACCCATCTTTAATCCTCAAATTGGTCTCTAATGTCATGTCCTCCAGCCTCAAGTCCATTCAGAACCAACCTCCCCCTACAGTTCAGCATTTAGAATGTTCCTATGTTCTCCCTTGCTTCAAGGATTCTGCCTCCCTCCATGTGCTTATCCATTTTCTCCACTGGTTAGCAAAGTGCCTTTGCTATCTAGAGCTCAGTGAATATGGCTAAGTGTCCATTTGATTTTTAAAAGAGATTAGGGGTAGAAGGTCCTAATCATTTATCTGTCTGGTTAACCTCATATCCTTTACAGTTAGTTCCTCTGAAAAAATAACTTTAATTCTTACAATTATCACATGAACTCACTTTTTCTTAACTATATGTTCCCTACTCTCAAACCAAAATGAATTCAAAAAATTACATAATTCTACGTGGTCTTCTGGTTTTTGGTGAACAGAGAGATGCCCAGAGAGCCAAACCTAAAGATTTCCCAGATTCTTTTAATCTCTCCAGTCTAGTAGTACCATTCAAAAGCCCAAATCCCACACATCTGCTCTGAATTATGATTCCAAATTACCTTTAATCTTCAAGGTATGTCCCACCTTTACAAGATGATAAATGACACTGGGGAAGGGGAAAACCCAATCAACCAAGCAGGTGAAGCAGCAGACATAAACAGGCCAAGGGATTAGTGACAGCAACATAAAATAGGCCAGAGGCAAAGTATCCCCCAAACCAGAGAAGCCTCAGGAACATGCACAGCTGAGAGAGAGAGCAAGCCAGAGAGGAGTCTCGGCATTGCCTCACCTTCCACTTGTCCAATGGGGGGAGCGCTACCCCATTGGAATGGTTAAGGTCAGACACCAGCACCTTCAGAATGTCGTGAATCTATAGGAGGTGAAAAAGGAAAGAGAGAGGCAAGAAAGTCAGGGAAGGAAGAAGAGGTGGGTTCAGGGAAATTAAATGCTGAAGAAGAGCAGAGGAGACCAATACCATGGCCTATACCATTCTTCCAAAGGGCTACGTGCTGCTTTGCCAGAGGCAGAAACAAATAAATGGAAAAGTCCCCTGAGTGATGCAGTCTCAGATACGAGTCACCTAATCAATTCAGTTCTTAATGCACTCCTTGGACCCTTTTTTCAGGCCCAGGATGCAGAGGAAGTCTGGTAGGACTTTAGACCACTGGTTCTCAACCTTCCTAATGCCGCAAACCTTTAATACAGTCTAAAGGGGTCGCGACCCACAGGTTGAGAACCACTGGTTTAGACCCTCACCTCCATTTTAAACACCAGTCTTTCCCATAGGGTTTTAGTTGAACAAAGGGGTCTACAGCTATAAAGTAAATTTGAAAGACACTGATCTAATCCAATAACATCAATATACAGAGGAGGAAACTGAGGTCCAGGGGAAGAAGAGATTTTTCTGAAGTCACCCAGCAAGGTGGTGTCAAGGATGGTCTCAAAATTCATATCTTCTCCTAATCCTAGTGCCAGGGTTCTCTGCACCATACCCTGCTTCTTAAAGGGAAAGCCTAATGGCAAGCGGCCATTCTCACTGGCCTTACTTCCCCTGAGGCTGGAGATGAGAAAAATCAAATAGCGACTACCATTTATGGAATGTTTATTCTATACCATGCCTGTACTGAGAATTAATATAAAAACAGCAACCAAAAACCTCATTTAAACTTCTATAAGTATAAGTAAAACAGTATTACCCCTATTTTACACGTGTGAAAAGAGAAGCCCCAAACAATTTGCCCTAAATCATATCCCTAGCAGTGGGAAAGGTAGAATTCAAACTCAGTACTCTTACCCAGTACCCAACACTTTTTCCACAATCTTAACCAGTTCTCCTTACTTCTCCTAAGCCCCCTATCCCCAAGGGCCTGGCAAACCATGACTCACGTCCTCAGGTGAGTGGCAATCATCAGAAGTAGTTGACTCAGAGCTACCATCATTTTTTACTTTCTTCTTCTTCTTTGTATAAGAAGATGGTAGATTGTGCTTCCGCTGAAATTCTAGCAACTGTGGAAAGGAAAAGCAGTAAGATTCATGAAAATTATAAGCCCATATGATTACATCATACTTCATGTGGGAGGGGTCTTTTTTGCTTTATTTTTTACTTTACAGTTTTTACAAAATATATTGTGTACAATGTCTGATTTAATGCCACCAACAACCAAATGATTGTAACAACCACTTAGTGACTAAAATAGACTGTTAACATGGCTTTTTTTAAAAAGGCAATAATGCAATTTAAATTCAGTCTTCCAACTCTAAGCTCTGGGGTTTAGCCATGAATCTGCAGTGTGGGGCAAAACCAAAGGAAGCATCTAGTAGGCAGGAGCTGTGCATTGTGTGGCTCAGAGTCAGGCAGTGGGGCCCTTCCTTAAACATCTGTGAGAGCTGCACACCAGTACGTCTTAAAAATGTAAGTCAATGTGCCCTAATGGCAGGAGGGTAGTGAAAGTATATCCCTAGTGAACTTAGGAAACTAACAGAAAAAGGACAAGGGACAAGCCAAGCATCATTTCAGAGAAAGGTCTATTGTAATCTTACAAGTATATGCAAATGTCATCCCTAAGTATATTCATGTTTTTTTCTCTCTCCAGAGAATCAAGCAAAACTGAATCTTTGGAAAGCTCTCCCATAGTAATCCTGTGGCACTCAGAGAACCTCATGTTGAGAAGGTAATGTGGGGAAGATTCAAAGCGGTGAAGTTCAGTTTCCCAGGATCTGTTCTACAGAAGAGAAGTAGACCTCATTCCACAGAGCACTAAGTGAATATGAGGTAGAGAACTCAGTAAAAAATTTTAGTCTCTCTGGAGCGTAGAAACCTGGGAGAAAAGCAAACCCAACCCGTTCTCCCATTGCAACCCAGAGATACTGTCAAGGTTTCCAGCTCTACTGGTGAAGTGTAGGCTTTCGCACTGCCAATATTTAAGTTAAGGGAATAAGGAGCCTGAAACCTCTCGGTCTTAAATTCCATAGTTCTTAGTCCCCTTCCAATTAGAAATCTGTGCCTTGACCAGAGAAACCAGAAATGGAATGAACACTCGGGGTATTGGGTCTTAAGATCAAAGGCCAGGCTCTCGACAGTAATGACAGCTCCGAGGGGGACTGCGAGGTAACTACACTGCACTCCACCCTACCTACGACCCACTCTCTGCTCCGCGATGGGGGAGGGGAACCTAGGGCCGGGATCCAGGTCCTTGAAGATGGGAGCCCACAGAGCTCAGGAAGAGGCAATTTGGGGCAGTGGGAAGCTAGGACTGAGTTCAGAGCAAGGACCCCCTGGAGTCATCAGTCCAAAGTCACCCAGGGGCAACTGGCGAGGGCAGGGGTTGGGCTACTGAGGGGGCGGGGCTGGCTGAAAAGACTTTGGTGAGAGAAGCCAAGCGACGCGGTGCGGCTAGCTCTACGTGTCTCAGGAGTAGCACAGACTGTGGCCATAGTCCTACCGTGGGAGGGGAGCCTCGGGCTGGGTCGGGGAGCCGCGACCCGGCGTGTTTTACCTTTTTCCTGGCCGAGGCCAATTTTTGCTGTCGGGTTTCTTCCGACATCCCGTGGGGGGGAGGGGGAGAGCGGGATATACGGGAACTCTTCAAGAGATCCCGGCAACCCCCGCGAAATTGCTTCCGCTTGCTACCGCGCAGAAGTGCAACTGAGCCAGAACAGGCGGGACCAAGGCGAGCCTAGGGAAACATAAATGTGGGCGTGGCCCCAATGCTCCCGGCCCGTTGGTCAATGAGAACGATGAAAGGAAAAGGGGCGTGGCCAGGGAGCGGTGGGACCCAGAGGTCAAGTCACCACGTCAGCTGCGCACGTGCGCAGCCGCTGTCCCTGCCCACTTTGGGGAGACGAGGGGGCTGGCTCTTGCTAGGTGCGCGCGCAGCTTTCGGTGAGACCGCGGCCTCCTTCAAGGAATTCTAGTTCCTGAAGGACCTGAGAAGCCACTCTCCGGCACCGCCCTGGACCCTCTTGCGCCACTCAATCCCCCACCCCGGGGGCCTCGGACTCCAGGCCTCAGGAGGTGGGCAAGGAACGGACAGCGGGGGGAAAGTGCATCATCTCACATTCCCTTTCCCGGCTCTTCACAGCCCTGCCCAGACTTGTCCCAGAAATCACCTCCCGGAAGCCCCATCCCATCCTCCAAACACGCCTCCTCGGAACCCGCCCGCTTTCTCAAGGGTTCCTTCTCTGATCCTGGGAATGTATCTGCTGCCCGGGTTCCAGCTGTGTCCAGCCCTAGCACACCTACTTCTTAGTTGCCCTTCCTCCCGCACCCTGCAGTACCCCTTTCTTTTGAGAGCGGGCTCTCGGTCCAACCAGCTTTTCCCCTCAGATTTCTCTCCAGGGCCGAACCAGGACTTAACCGAAGTTACCGTGGCACCTTCAGATCCCCTGTGAGTATGTCTGTGCCCCTCCCTCGCCCTCCATCGGGTGAATCGCTGCTAGTCTCAGCCCTCTCCTCCATCTCTTTGGCATTCCCACAGTGCTGAGAACCTCGTTTCTCAATCCCAATCCTTCCTTTTCTCCTGCTCTCCACAATGTTCAAAGAAGTGCTGCGTGTCCTGTTCTGGGCCGACTCCTCTTCGTAGGGTGCTGTGGAGTCACAGCTCACAGCAACCTCCAACTCCTGGGCTTAGGCGATTTTCTTGCCTCAGCCTCCCGAGTAGCTGGGACTACAGACACCTGCCACAACGCCCTGCTGTTTTTGTTGCAGTTTGGCCGGGCCGGGTTTGAACCCACCACCCTCGGTATATGGGGCCGGCGCTCTACCCACTGAGCCACGGGCGACGCCCCTAGCCCTGGCTTTAAACACCACGACCCCAATCAGGAAAACGCTTGCCCTTTATGTTAGCCACTCCTTTTAGTTGACAAGAGTCTCTCTTCTCTGGCAAACCACCCCCAAAACTCAGCCTCCTCGCATCCCCAGATGGGGTTTCCTCCACCAACACTTTTAAATTCGTTGGAGTAAGACTTGGCATTTGTATTGATTAAGCAACTGCTGAAATGTAGTTACGTGTCAGACAGTTCCTACCCTCCAGGAACTACAGGCTGGAGGATGAACAGGCAAAAAATAAAGAAAGAAGTAAAGAAATTCCAGTACAGAATAAGCATGGTTCAGAGTGAGGAGGGCTCCCCAGAGGTAGTGAGGTCAGAAGCAAGACCTGAAACATAAGTTGCATTAATCCCAGATAACAGGTGGCAAGTCACAGTCTGCCAAAAGCATCGGGCTGATTGAGCTTTTCTCTCTTTTTTTTTTTT